GACAGAAACTTGTCGAAACGTTGTACATTTGCTGTTATGTCAAATGTATATTAAACGTTTTCTTCATGCTGTTACGTTAAACTTATATTAAAGGTTTTCTTCATTACCCATTCAAGCTGTCTCCAAGCATTATTAGTCTCAAAGTGGGTTCGTTGTCATTGAAAATAAACGTATATTGTTACATTACGGTCATGGTTATTAAGTTAATTTTGCAGTTTCATATAAGTGAAATTGTGTTTATTTGACATTAAACATGTTTCATTAGTAAGTTGCTTGACAGTAAAATGGATAACAAATAAGGCCAAGATATCAAAGTATAGTGTAACATCTTGGTTTTATTTTCTATCGAGATACTGCATGGATTATTATTAGTACTACTGATTTGCCAAATAATACTGTCAGATGTCAGCTCCCCCTTCCTACCAGGCAATTATATTTACTCATAAACATATTGTTTTCTTTGGATTTTTGGGTGGTCTTACATGTGGTCTTCTCAATAGTATTTTATCACCTATACTCAATATCTATGCTCGTTTTAGGAATTTCCTCAGCTTACTTATTTGATGCGAACTATTTTCATTTTACAGATTCTTTTCCTCATGGGAGCAAACAGCTTTTTAGTTTTAGTTGTTACAGATTATTCAAGTTATTTGAAAGGTGTTTCATTTCTTTTAAACAAGAACCAAATACATACACATGTGCAGAACATATATATATATATTAAACAACCTACTGTATGGACCTTTTCACAATGTAAGTAAAGATAGCACAAACATTATAGATGATGGCAATGGCTTATTTAGTACATACATATAATATACGTACAAGATCTAGGAAGTGCCCGGAACACACAAAACATGAGAAGAACCAAACCAATAAGAAAAATAAGTCATAACTAGTAATTTGTATTTCAAAATATTTTATTTTTGATCACAAAGTTTTTAATAATTTTCATTTAGTGAAAATTATATATCTTATAATAAAAGTATTTTTTTAAAGAGTCGGATTAGTACAGTTTAGAACATCATTTTATCAGCAACTTCTATTAAAGAACAAAGTAACTCAGAACCAAAAAAGTTACTTATAGATTAATGAAGATAATTCTATATAACAGACTCTCTTGAACTACATAATTTCATAAATCAAAGCATAAGGAAACTAAAACCCGTAAAGACTAGAACACATTGATTCATAGTTAAGCTTCTGTCCTAAAATCCAGAAACTTAACTCAAAAAGCCACTCAACCTTGTTATAACTGGATTATAACAACAGTAAATTTATGTATTGCTTTATTTTACATAAACAAAACTCTTAACATAGAGAAATGGATAAGAATGATAGTATTAACCATATTGTGGCATTAAGTTTAAAAGTTTTGGTCGTTTGTTTACTTTTGTTGTTGTTACATCTGATTATGTGTCTACACTTTTATTTAATACAATTGATTTTCATGTCAAACTATATGAAATCCAAGGGACTTTAATTCATCTGCATGTTGTATGTGGGATATATGAAGTTTATAATAACAGATATAAACGATGGACTTTTAAACAGTGATTTACACATAGAAAATCTACAGACAGACCACAATATCTTCATTATAAAAGCTGCCACACCAAACAGAATATTACTTAAAGTACTTGGAATTAAAAGAAATCTGTACTAATGAAACAAATTACAAAAACACACTGAGAATCCAAAACAAGCCATTTTACAAAGAGGTTATAAAGATACTGGAATTGACACAGATTTAAAAAGCCTACAACACTCAATAAAATAAAACAAACTATTCCTAAACAGTATAATACTAAAAAGTAAGGATTCTTCTTGTTTTTTACATATCACTTTAAACTCAGAAACATTTTGCATATTCTGGAAACTTTTCCATTTATTACAACAGAATGATCGCCTGAGACACATTTTTCCTGAAGTTCCCATTGTCTCCTTCTGGAAGAGCAGAAATCTTAAATTCTGAAATGAATACTCACCTTCATACACAGTTTAGCTTTCTTTCTTAAGTGTTTGTGTACTCTGCGAAAGAGATTTGCAAGCCATCAGCCTTACTGCACAATATTGGCTGTCCAACAGCTTTTGTGCGAGTACTTGGACAGCCATGTAAATATTCCACCCATCCTTGCAAAACAATTTTGGCTTCTTTGCTTCTTCCATTCTCATAAACAGGTAAAGAGTACACCCTGAATGAGATGACATATGATCTCCCATGAGTGCCCACTATGGATTCCCTGCCATCAAGAATCACAACCCATGGGCTTCCTTCAGACAGGAGGTTCAACTAGGTAATCTTTTCATTGGTTCCTCCACCATCTCAATATGGGATTCTAGCTAATTTGTGTGAGGAAGTGAGTATTTGTTTTGGAAATTAACATATTCCTTATCTGAAAACGTATTTCCTATAGATACTTGCCTCCACACACATTTCCACCAGTCCTCCCCACTTCTTCAGTGGGGAAGTATTGAACATGAAGGTAGTCCTCTGAGAGGAGGGTTCTACTGCATGATAACATCATCAGCCATGGAACAGATTCACATGAAATTAGGTGGGGTTTTTTCACAAGGCTGATGGCTTGCAAATTTTTTTGACAGAACATTTGAACACATGAGGAAGAAAGCTGAAGTGTGTGAGGAGGTGAGTATCTATTGGAAATACATTGTCAGATAAGGGAAATGTTAACTATCCTCGTTCATGCAAAGTCAGTTACACCCCACCAGTGAATGTTTGTTTTTGTAATAAATTTCATTGTCTAACCTGCAAGCTCATGAAAATTACTGACTCTTTCTGCAAGAAATCTGGCCAAAAAAACACTTTAAAATTACTAAATAAATTAGTTGCATAACACACACCATTTACTTCATACAATGTATAAGATGCAATCACTAGTATGTAGTACAGACCAAAATAGCTCTTAGAGAGCATTTCCATTAATCTTCTATTAACATTACAAAATACCTTTCCCAACCCTTCAACCATCCCAATTCTTCTGTTTATGATGTGATTCTCATGTGTTTTGAAATTAGTTTCAAAACTAGAGCTGATAAAGAAATTAAAGAAGCCTATTGGATTGCTATTTTAAATACTGTTCAACCATGTGGAGATAAACTTAGATCTTGTAACCAGTGATTTTAAACCATCAATTAGTTCCCTAACATGTTTTTTTTTACCCCTTAACAAACGTTTTGTATCTAACATTCTCTTTTCTTGTCATACTGCACAACAGAAATGAGTTACAACTGCAGAATTCATTTGAAAGCTAATCAAAATATTTTTTTGGTTGTCATGGTGGTCTGCTATGCCATCAGTCTACCTTTTCTTGCACTACTTTACTTAGTCATTCCCAGTTTGCCCCTTATTCAGAAAAGCCCATTTTCAAAAGTGCTTGGGTTGTATGGTTTTGTACTTTTCTCTCATTTTGATTTTTTTAACATATGTGTCTTTCTAACTTCATGAATGAAGTTTATATTCATAATCGCTAGATCTGTAAATGTTTTGCAGAAGTAATGAAAATTTTCTGACACCCACCCCCCATCCTCCAATTTTATTATCCGTACCCATATAGCTCTAAGTTTGAAATAAGTAAATATAGTAGTTCAATGTTTATTAGGAACATCTACAAACACCTTCTGTAATTAATTTATTTGAAACATTTTATTCACTAGTCTTTGTACACGAGTTAGCCCTAATGTCCCACACACACTGTATTTCCAATTACAAAAAAGTTTAGGAAACTTTAATATGATTTGAATTTGAAACACACATAATTAGCTTTCTTTTGTCAGTTAAAAAGTGCATTAAAAATGCAGCAACTGCCTATCAGGATCCATGTTGTAGTTAAAATATAACACATGCTGGTTAAAAACATTGTTCTAAAATATATTGTGCATATATATTTTACCTAGTGTGAAGAGATGAAACCATTAAGAGGTTTATGTTGCTGTTTCTGTTATATTATGTTACACTATATAGTAGACAAGTAGATTATAGTGTATCTTTTTTTTCAAGAAGGATTTTAGTGTTTTTTAACATGACTTTCCTGAATACTATCTTGTGTTTCTAAACATTAAAACTTTGTTTATTGCTTTTATCTTTAGGCCCTCAACCTAACCAGTGGATGCCCATACCCTCAAGTCCACCAAACTGTCCACCTGGTCTGGAGTACTTGACTATGGTTGACCAGTTGTTAGTGCACCAAAAAGTGGAACTTTTAGAAGGTTAAATTAAGTATACCAGGCATTTTCAAACTAAATTACTGGATAACTGTAGTTAATTGAGAATCAAACACTCGTATAGGTTCTATCTACATAAGCATCATAAGTTTTAAGCCTAAACAGTATCTTAGTTTTGTTAACTTTTGTAAGTCATATATTAGTTTAATTTGTGATTAAGACGTTTGAGTGTAAATCGCAAGATCCAGGCTATTAAGAACACCTTTGTATTTCAGTTTAGGATAGAAGTAATGTAAAAGTTCAAGAAAAATTATTGGAAAATTTGGCCCCTTTTATATTCAGGCTGCTGCTTGTTCCACAATTTCTTAGTACATAGAAAAGTGATAATGGTCCACACTTTGTAATTGTATTGTGTCATTGAAGTCTTTTAAGATGTTGGCTAAAGTCCTGTTTGTAAAGAAATTACATAATTTTTTTCTGTAATACAGAATGAACATTTTCAGTAGTTCTTTGTTCATAATTTGAGTTGAGTCAAGTCACTTTATAGTCACTATTATTTTATCTTCAGCTTTTACCGGGTTTGAAACTGCCAACAAATACGAAGTAAGAAATAACATGGGTCAGAAGGTGTACTTCGCTGCTGAAGGTAAGTTTATTTGATGCCCCTGCTGTGTATTTGTGTTTATTATTTTTACTGAAAATAATTTGCATTAACATTAATCATATTTGTCTTGGAGCTGACTTTATCTTGTGTAAAAACATCAGTGAAATTTCGTTTTTTAGTGTTTTTAATATTTTTTAAAAATGTTGTTACAATTCGTAAAGTACCAAATATGAACTTGTTGGTTAAGATGCAGTCTTCTTTATTCATCCTGTAGACACCGACTGTTGTACTAGAAACTGCTGTGGTCCAATGCGTCCATTTGACATGAAGGTACTAGACAATGGAGGCAGAGAGGTCATTCATCTTTACCGTCCTCTAAGGTGCGATAGTTGTTGTTTTCCCTGTTGCCTGCAGGTAAGGAACATGGAATTCTCCGTAACCCTTTCTATCAGATGCATGTAATTTTAGTTAATTATAGACAAGCAGTATGGATTTAAAGTTTGTTATGATTTGATTTCTGTTGCTTACTACTTGAAAATAATTCTACTGTCTGAACTAAATAATATTCTTCTAAACCTGTTATGTATTTTCCGAGAGTAATTTGAATTTTAAGAGACAGAGGCTACTTGAAAAATTTGGTATTAGTGTGGTTGTATTTCTATAATTATCATATGTTTTTTGGATTTTTTTATGCTTTAGGCCATCCTAGATAAATTCTGTGTTTGATGTCAGCTTTGCATGCAGGTTTTAAAAACAACAGCTTAATTAAAAATAAATCAGTCATTTGTGACACCATTGCTGGTTTTCACTTTTACTTTGCTTTAATTGACACTTGGGATATTCTGTTAACTCTTTCTGGACCTGAGGGGATTTGTTGACTTTTTCCTTCTCACAGTATACAAATTTAACCAGATTGAATAGAACTTAGAAGAGTCTTATTAAATAGTCTAGTTTTTACTGAAAATAATATCGTTTGATTTAGGGTTTCTATAATTTTTTATGCTTTGAAATTTCAAACTTGTTGTCACACTGTTTTAGAAAACATTAAAAAATTTTCATTTTGTCTAAAGTTTTTAGTTTTTTTCTATTGATCAGAAAGTTACATTTTGTTTATACACTCATCTCCAACTTGATTGATATTCAATGACATATTTTTTTTTTATAATTTACTTTGCTAAATTCAGTAGTCACCACTTGTCTTTCAATTACTGTTAGTTTTTATATTTATCTTAAATAAATCATTACTCGCAACTTAAATGTCTTAAAGAACAGATGTTGACTAGCTCAGACATCATAAAATTGTGGTAATGAAAGCTTGTACTATAAAATCAGTAAAAGAGAAGGATAACCATAAGAGAAATAAAACCTGAATGATTATATTCTAAAACTATTTTTTAAACAAGTATAAACATGCTTTTCGATCCAGAAACAATCTAAAAAAAACTAAGTGTATTTTTTTTTATGGGAGAGGCTCCTTGGAGCTGCACAGAAAAGAAAGTTTGAACATTTTTCTTTTAAAATTACACCTGTTTAGTATTGTTGATGCAATACCAAAAAACATAAAATATTCATTAAAAAAAAACACTTTTATTTACAACTAAACTGTTCCATAAAAACATTTCACATTTATGTACCCATTGAGAGAGCACCCCATCATTGTAAATCTTTGTAACAACCCTTGGAGTTGACCACGGGCAATTAGTACTTAGTCCTTTTTATTTTCCTTTCATATAAACTTTGGGTTTTTACTGGTGAAAATCCTTAAAATGTCAGTTTTAAAAAAACATTTCTTCTTGCTGCCAAATTTAGCTATGTAATAACATTTCCTATAAAATTTTCCAAAATTAGCCACCCCCAAAAAATACAAAGTATCAGAATCAAACTAGTATTTCTTCAGTTTTGTAATCCTTTTATGCATTCTTGTCAGGCCTGAATGTTCCTGTTTTTAGCTGTGTTAAAAGTACACAGAGTTACAGATGAGATGAGCACACATACCTATATTGAAAACATATAGGAGATTGTTTTAATATAAGGAAAATGTAACTGTAAACTTAGCAACAGTATATGACATAAGCTTTTTCTTTTGTTACACCAAGCATAGTCAGGTGGATCTAGAAACTAGTAATTGGACATGGTTTTGATGGTTTAAAATCTTTTAGTTATTGACAACTGCAGTAATCCTGAAATGAATGTATGTAAACACTTTTTTCTAATAAGTATAGGTGGAAGAAAACAGCATACAAAGCATGCTAATTGTCTCACTTCCAGTAGTTCTTGTTTCGATGTTATAAGATAAAGCAGAGGGTTTCAGATTACCTAAATACTGTAATGAATACAGTGTAGCAAAACAATGTTAGTAGTTGGCTTGTTACTGGATGCCTACCTAAGGCCTTAGAATCTACACTGAAAATAAGTAATATAATGTGCATTGGTTACAACTTAGTGATAAACAGGTGTTTGGTGAATTTTGTCAGTTTGCTAAAACTACTTCAAATACATAAAAAGATTGTAAGCAGATACATGGAGAGATGCTCTTTGCATAGAGCCACTGTAATGCTATATAAACAACACCTGTAGTTGGAAAGTAGATTTGGCATGAGTTAAGCCTAATTGGTATTTGGTTGTGTACAGTTTTACCATATAAATTAAAAGGGTGATACAATTTCAGATTATGCAATTCTTATTGGTCACTACTTTATAACTTTTCAAAATTTTTTCTCAAAACATGATGGTGCAGCTTAATAATTCCAAATTAGAGATAACATTTTTTTTTTGAGTTTCTGTGGTTTAGTAGGTCCTTTTTAGTTTCGTCCACCCGACGGGACAGTGGTAAGTGTACGGACTTACAATTATAAAATCCAAGGTTCAATTCCTCACTGCACACACACACAGCAGATAGCCCAATGTGGCTTTGCTAAAAAAAAAAACTTTCCAGTTTCATTTAAATACATATTTTGTGCTGTTTTCTGAAGTTTTATTCTTTTTTGTTTTTGGATAAAAATAAAATGTTTTGGTGTCTATAAATTGGTTCTCAGTTATTTATAAGATTCTAAGTAACTCAACTATCATGGAATCAACCCACATACAGAATTTTGACAAGAACAGTAAACATGAAAAATTTGTATTAACAAGTGATAAAAACCTCAGAAATTAAAGTCAATTATTAAAGGTTTTACAAAGTCATTTTATGTAATAACTCAGTGACTGGTTAAGTACACTTGCAGCATTTCATTAATCAGTTGAACTATTTTTGACATGATTAATTATAAGAAAAGGTTCTCACAGGAGGATTGATAGAGCAAGTTCAGGTCATATTGCACCACTGCATGACAGCTTCATATAATCTACATGCTATTTATTCGTAATTATTTATAAAGAAACAAATTCATTTTTTTTCACTCATTTTTAATTATGCACAAAGCTACACAAGGGCTATCTGTGCTCTGCCCACCACGGGTATCGAAACCCGGTTTTTAGCGTTGTAAGTCCGCAGACATACCGCTGTGCCATTGGCGGCAAAGTTGAATGTTTGTTTGTAATTAAACACAAAGCTACACAATGGGATATCTGTGCTCTGCCCACCACGGGTATCGAAACCCGGATTCTAGCGTTGTAAGTCCGCAGACATACCGCTGTGCCACTGGGGGGCGAAACAAATTCATAGACCGATTAAACAAACTATTATCTCAATAGATCATAAAAAATAGGAAGCTTTATTTTAAAAACATATTTATGTTCGTTATCATTTTTGCTTTAGCTGTAAGGGAAATAAAATTGGTGTTAGGGAATACCTTTGCTATATGCAAGTTTAAGAATTTTATTTCAACAGGCAGTTTCTGTCCACTGAAGTTCTTAAACCTACTTATTATATGTAGTGTCTGATAAATCTGTTTCTTTGTGACCTTATTGAATCAACCAACTTTTTATTGTAATGGCCATGACCAGTTCTCAAAGTATGAAATGATTTTGAGCCAAAGTAACCCATTTTTATATTTTTTTAATAAACTGATTCATTCGTAGAAGTAAAATACAGGAGTCAATGATTTGATATAAAATTTAGATTTGGAAAACTCCACAAAATAAATAGATTTTACCCTCTTGTTTATTTTTTATAGAAATTAGAGGTCACAGGTTCAGGTGCAACATTGGGTTATGTTACCCAGGAATGGAGCATCTTGGTCCCAAAGTACAAAGTTGAAAATGCTGCTGGGGAATGTGTCTTAAGAATTGAAGGACCTTTTTGTACCTGGAGCATTTGTGGTGATGTGGAATTCAAGGTTGGACTTGAACTTTTCTTGATTACAGTTCTATTGAAATGTGATTAATTTATTTTTTAGCAAGAAAGTTTGTTACTTTTGATAGCTGAAACCACAACTTTTATAAATGAACATATTTCAATTCTCAGTCATCATTATTAAAAAGAAAGTATTCTCTGTAAGTGGTGGAATTTTACAGAAACTTCAAGCCTGCAAGAGTATTACTGTGTTTTGTAATTTTGTGCTTGTACTGTTATATTAAAAGTAAACTATAAATTATCTCTCTTTGTTGTTAGGTGCTGTCCAGCGATGGAAGTGCAGAGGTTGGAAAAATTACTAAACAGTGGACTGGTTTAATCAAAGAAGCTTTTACGGATGCTGACAACTTTGGAATCACATTTCCGATTGATTTGGATGTTAACATTAAAGCTGTTCTACTCGGAGCTTGCTTCCTGATTGTGAGTATCTGACCTACACGTGCTTCTACCAAACAAAAATTTTTTATTAGATCTTTAATGATATGAAACTCATTTTTGAAATACATTCAAATTTTCATTGTACTTACTTGGGGTAAGTGAAATCCTAGGTGAGGTTCTGTGGTGTGATTGTACATTTAAGTTACTTAGAAAATATCTTAATGTTTATAGATTTATTTCCTATATTTATGTGACTTGTTGGTAATCTTTGTATTACTGCATAAGAACTTTTAACTGGAGATTGACAGAATGCGTACAAACAAAGAAATAAAAACTTGTATTTGTAGGTGACATACAGTTACTTAAAATCTAATAATTCAGTAAACATCTTTCTGAAGTATTAGAAGAAGTCACTTATTTCAATACCTCAAAATCGTGATTTCAACTTTGTGTTTATTTTTTCAATCATCTTGAGCTTTGTAAGTTTGTAATGATATAAAAGACTGTTTAGTTTAGATGTTATTGATTCATTTGTTTTGTGAAGAATATTTTATTGTTTAGTTTTTGTTATAATAAGAGTTAAAAGTAGATGATTATAGGAAGTTTTGTTAATAATTCATTGACGTTGAGAATATCGAACATTACGTGCAATACATTGAGACGATTAAGTGATAAAGATATAAATAGTGTGAGATGAGTGGGAACAGCAGACAGAAAATAGCAAAAGAGAATAAAACTGGCATGATGTTAACTATCGTAGAAGTGATAGTACTAATGTTTAATAAGTTAGAGTAAAACTAACGGTAGAAAAGGAGACAAGAATAATAATTTCATTCCGTCAAAGCGTAGTTCCAAAGTAATTGAATCAGCCTGAGTGCACTTTGACAAAAGGAACAGAGGATCTTCAGAAGAAAGAAGACCAAACGAGTGCAGTAACTCGTGCCACAACTGTATGTGAATCACACATAGAATACTAGTGCAATAGAAATAGAGAAGATAGGTTAGCTTGTCACCTGAAATTCTAGAGTAATTGAATAGTCCTAAGTGGATATTTGACAAGAAGGAGAGAACTACATAATATAGTATTTATGCCTATAATATATGTAGTGTTTTACACTTGTTCTGAATATGTATATCATTTTAAAAACGAGTTAAGTGCATGCTGTTTATTTATAGTTGAATTTACCACTAACAAGTCACAGACACATGCTGTAAAAGAATCCTAAGCCAAACAACAACATAGTATATATTTATACTATTAAGAAATATAACTAAAAGAATTTTTATTTTGACAGTTGGAGAAAAAGAAAATATAATAATTGTCAAATTTCTGACAAAGTTCATTCATAGATAGAACTGAATTGGTTGTTCAAACTAAACATACAAGTTGATGATCTGTAAGCTATAAATGTAACTTTAATAACATGTATTTCACCAACTGTTAATTTAGAGCTGTCATGTAGATGCAAAGATTTTTCTTATTCACTAGTATATTTCTAATAACAGCTACCACCAAAATATATAATACATAATTCCATAATATGTGTGAATACACAAAATGTTTAATTATACACATAGCCCATTTTAAAAAAACATCATAAAAAACTAAACCTAATAAAAATACAACCTTTACATGAGTAATACGACAAGTTTACTAAAATTTCTATTATTGTTGTTCTCCAGGATTTCATGTTTTTTGAAAAATCTAATAATCGGGAAAATGACTCTCCAGGAATGATATGAAGTTACTTCAACAAGGAAAAGCTTGAAGAGGTTTTTAAGAATTTTTATAATTATCAGCATTGATTTATACATGAAAAAAATAAATCTTAACCCTTTCCAGTCGGAAATCTCATCAAGTTTTACGAAAACCCTGTCTTCTCTCTCCTCAAATTACCAACAAACTATAAGAAAAAGTTGTTTATTAAGATATAAGATTCTGTTTTGATGTATATGTATATTTTATTAACATTAATTTTGGTAAAGTAGTAAAAAGAAATCTAAACTGTTAATCCTAATTTTGTTTGCTCTTCCATGCCCTCCAATATTTGTTTGTGGAGTAGAAATATCTATAATTTGTCTGCATTGATAATAATTTGTAGCATATGAAGTAAAAAATGAAATTCTGTGGTAGTGATATATATTTAGTAGTTATTTCTATCTCAAATAGTGTGAAAAAAATAATTTGTTTTTAAATTAATGGTGTCAAGTATTATAAAATCATTATGTTTTTGTTCAACAACTACCAAGCTTCTAAAGTTTGCATAATCATAAATGCATCAACTAAAAACTTGTACCATTTTCTTCCTTACAGTCCAGTTTTCATAGAAATCCCTTCTTTCCGTACGTAGACTGTAAATTTCTAAAATTTTAATTATTATATCGGAAACCTTCCTTGATTTCTTGCCTTCAGATAATTTAACTATGAAGTAATTACTTAAGCAGTTCTTTTACAAAAACTTGTGCTTGGAACTACCTCCTAGTGACTAAACAACAAAACATGTTTGGAATTATGGAACCTTACATTGAACTTCATTAAAGCATGAGTTTAGAGATTAGCAGGGAATTCATTCAAACAACTGTTCATAATTTTTCAAAGAAGCACAAAGATAACTTTTATAATAAGATTTAGTAAGATAAATACTATCTGTTGATGTTAGTGTTTAGTAATATATAACTTTTTTTTTGTTGCAAAATTTCTTTCAACAAAGAGAGCATGATGTCATTAGGCCTGTGATTGTATAATTGTAAATGAGCATTGAAGTCAGTAGTTATGGACATTGAGTCACATGGTTTTTGTTTCGTTATTAGCTGTAAATTTTCCCTAAAAATTTAATTTGAATTTAGTGGTCGTCATGCTTTATGTTTGAAGTGTGCACATTTCAAAAAAATTGTTTATAAGTCATTAATGAGAATGCAGAATTAGACAGTATAATGCCACCAGGTTGGAAAGGGTTAAGGGATCATCCATCATTTTGTATCAAAGTGTTTTTCTAAATGATTTCTTTTTATTTTAAACAAGAAATAAATATGTTCTTATCATTTATTATTATTTATTGAGATGGGTCAATGTTTCAATAACAAGTTCCAATAGTAAAGTTCTGAAATGGAGTTGTGTGAATTACAAGGTTAAGAAAAACTGTTTTACTTGACAGTAATAAATTTGAAAGGTAATCAGATACGTACTTTAAATGTCCATCAAGTGAATGGGAAAAACAAATTATCTGTTACGTTATTGGATTAAAACGGACAGAGCGCACGTAGCCCATAATGTAGTTTTGTGCTAAAATAATAACAAAACAAGAAGTTAATATAATATTGCAGGGGCTAATCTATAAGAAAATCCATACATTAAATACTCAATGACGAGGAACCCAATTTGAGACTAATAATGGTTGGAGACGGCTTGAATGGGTAATGAAGAAAAACTTCAATATAAGTTTAACATAACAGCAAATGTACAACGTGATGATGTCGAAACGTTGTACATTTGCTGTTATGTTACACTTATATTAAAGTTTTTCTTCATTACCCATTCAAGCCATCTCCAACCATTATACATTAACTATCTTTATTATATTTTTAACCAATCATTATACACTTAAAAGATACAAACACAAAAATCTTTTTTGTCTTTTTTCATAATGGTTCAGTGTTCCTAAGAACTCAGATTGATTCTGAAATTTGTTCTATTTTTTTTTTATAATGTACGACTAACATTTTTTTTATTACCTTTTATATTTATAACATAATCAGCATCATAAATATTTTTACAACTTAAAAACATAACACTTTTTGGCATGGTTAAATTGAATGTAAATGTTTAGTAAAAAAAAAAAAAAGTTTCTTTTGCACAGTATAAAGTTAGAATAAATTATCTTTTTTTTTTTTTCCTAGAGCAGCTTAGTATAACAGCAAAGTCTTTGTTTGTGATATTAAATAAATGAAATCTTAACTCTGTTCATGCCTTAAAATTAAGAACATTTTAACTTAAGTATAATTAAGCTGCAACACCCACAATCTTTGATTATAACATGCTGTTATAGAGTATAAACCCGTGAAAGAAAAATAATGAGTCATAAGTGCAGTTTTCCCTCTTTTTTTTTCTTCTTTTTTTTGTATTTACTATATGATTAATGTATGTTAGCTTCTGCTCTTTAGTGAATGTAGCAAAAAAAGTGAAACATTTCAGTTTTAATCCCTGCATGGCATTGGATAAATGTTTAAGGTCAACAAGGGTTAAGGGTTAACCAGGGTTAAGTTTCAAATTTCATTCCTAAATATATAAACAAACTTAAATGGATATAATACTATGTTTTAAGCTACTCTAAAATCTCTAAATTTAAGAAAAACTGAGAAAAGGCATTGATTTTAAAATAATTTTGATCATGTGATTGAAAAATATTTTTTACTTTTGATCACATGATTGAAAACAAATTTGCTAAGAATTATTAGGCATTTTGAAGGTTGTTGTAGCCTGCAAAAATTGATCTTAGAGTTGGTATTTAAGAAGCATTTGGCCTAAACAAAATTGTTTTACACTTGCAAAAGTTTCTAAAAAACTTTGATTCACTTCCTAACCATTTATTACCAAAACTCAAATGTTTTTGTCTGTTCTTCCAAACATCCATTACAGTAATTCACTTTTCATACTTGCCTATAACTATCATGACTGAAGTTCAGATAAGAAAAGTGCAAACATGAAAGTAAAGTCTTGTTTAAGATTAATAGAATAACTTAGCCTCACAAATGAGGAAATACATTTTCATTTTACTTTGAACAACTAAAGGTGACTACAATGGAGTAACTTGTCTACTTATAATAATCAAAAACAAATGTTCATTGTTGAAAAACTTATAAGATTGGTTTCGGTTCGATATATCGCAGTTTTACATAAAAAACTAGTGGTGACATATAAAGAAATTTTACTTTATTTGAAATAATTTATTAACTTTCTGAAATTCAAAGTTTTATTATGTACACTACTGTTTGTGTGTTAGAGTACTGCTAGTCTGTAAAACTCTTTTTGTGTCTTAGAAATTTTGAGAGAAAACATTAGAAAGTATTACTGAAAATAAAAGCTTCAACTAGCTTCAAAGTGTTGTGATACGTGTCAATTGATAAACTTCAGAACCTACTATGTGTGTGTGTGTACTGATAAATACATGCATTTAAAAACTGCCACTACAGAATATCTTTTTCATGTATAAACATTTATTGGCTAAATCTTGATAATGCAGAAACAGTTCTTGGACACTTTCACTAAACTTGTATTTTGGTTTTAAAGGTGTTGCAATTACTATCTTTAAAGAATTAAATATTATGGTAGTGTTATATTTAAGAAACATAACGCGTGTTATCCTGATAAGTTGTGTATGTTTCTCTTGTCATTTTGCTGTTCTTAGATTTATTATTAGACTTGATGTAGAGTACAGCAATCAACACTCGTGTGGTGGGTGCTTGATAAGTGGAAAGTTTGCACCCTGTGGTGCACAGTTAGAAGTTATTTGTAGAGATGTGGTTATTATCCTGATGATTTTGTGCAAACTTTCATTGAAACTTTGAAGAATCGTATTTGATATAGAGTTATGTTGGATTTAATGTAATTTGAGTGTGATATAAAATTATGTGAAAATAATTACCTCAATACTTGTTTAGTTTTGATATCTAAGGTTACATGACGCACTAAAATATTATTCCTTCCGTGTACATAATATACATCATAAACTGAGAAATTTACCGATGGAACTACAAAGATACATCGGCATTTCAGTCTTGCTAATTATTTGACATCTGAAACGTGGTGCGTTTTTTTCTCTGAAGATGTGTTAAATATTTGGCTTAGATGGTAGGTTACAGTGTGTACTCTAATTTATATCATAAATTAAAAAAAAATCTGGAACATTAATCAGGATTTAAAAAATCTTATCAAATGAGTGTAATATCTGATTTGGCCTACAGCAGATTTCAAAAGGATGGTGGATTAGACCTTCTGTGGTTTAGTTCCCCAAACGTTCAAAATAGCCTACCCAGGACAAGAGAGAGAGACTTGGTTCATGACCACTAAGGACTCAATTTTGCCATTTCCTAAAGTGGTTTGAGGAAGTGACCATCTGAAATGGTAAAAAACTTAGCCTTGAAATTCCTGAAGGAGTGGAGAAATTGACACCATTACATTTTGGCCCGAGAAACATGGTAACCATCAAGCTGTGTATTAGGGAAATTTTTATTTCAAGGAACATATGTAGCCTGTGCAGATTATGTGAGACATGTGCATTCTTAGGCTTACAATACAATACCTGCAGCAAAATTGGATGATATACTAACTGATTAAGTTGATTACAAGTTTACCCAATACAAATGTTGTTCCAACACATAGGTGAACAAAATATTGACTTACTAAATAAAGCTGAGCCCCGAGTAACATCCGAAATAGTAGTCATTGAAGAAGGGTTGGCTACAATGGCATAATTGTACATCCATAAATCAATAATGTAACTAACTCCCAATAGATTTAATGACGAGGAACCCACTTTTTAGAAAATAAAGTTTGGAGACAGCTTGAATGGGAGGTGAAACAAACTTTATTACAAATGTACAATGTTTCGACAAGCTTTTGTCATAATTGGATACATGATGACAAAAACTTGTCGAAACGTTATACATTTGTAATAGTTTCTTTTACTACCCATTCAAGCTGTCTCCAGACCTTATCAATTCTCAGTAAGGTTTACATGGTACAGTGGAGGAATGGTGGAAACAGATGCTGTTGTTAGAGCACGTACATTGGTCAAGGATACAACAGGCAGAGTGGCAACTGAAATTATCCAGTGTTACTAGAGTCACACTCTGGCCACATAGCAAACAAGTTATCCACAAGAAGACGAAAATGAGAAGTGTACTGTAGTAATAGAGGCTTCCTTGTTAGTTTTAGTGCAAATTTACACAAAGCTATCTGTGTTAAGTCTGCCACAGTCATCAAACCCCAAATGTTAGCATAAGCTAAAAATCTTACTACTAACCACCAGGAGACACCACTCTGTCTAATATTAACCAATAGCTCCAAAGTTAAGTTTTAATGTCAACTTGGTCTTTTTTAGTGAAAAATATGGCCAATATTCATGAATAGTGGCTTAATGTTTACCTCTGTATATCTCTGAGCAGATATAGAATCCCTATATGGTAACAGCACTGTAATAACACTGCTTGAACTTCCTGCCAAAATTACATTAGTTTTCAGGCTATGAGGGTATAAAACCCATACCCCCTATCTTACACAAGACATGGTAGTGGCTGCACATGTTGCACAATACAAGATCTGGTTCATCGGCTCTATAAAGCTGTTTTCTTCACAGTTTTCACAAGTTCTGTCAATACAGATAGCCAAGGAAATCTCAACAAAGCTTACTTCCCACTATAAGATGAGTAATTAGAGTACCCGCTGAAAGTGTAGTTGTAATCATGATGGAATTCCTGTTGAGAAGAGAGGAGGCGTGCAAGAAATCCCATGACAATAATGAACAAAGTGTGATGTAATGTAAGCAATCAAATCTATAAACATGGTTTCCTTGCTCAGACACCCGACACACAATTCAAAGCCTGAGATGACTACATGCTTATCATCACCTGGTGAGGAATTCTTGGAGTGATATAAAAATGTTTGATAATATATACACTACCAATGTATTCAAAAGCAGTTCAGTCATCACTGTCTTTGTTATTGATTTCTGCTCTGAATTGGAGAAGTATACTCTTCAAGTCAGTTGCTAGTCTGGTGTGTGAAAGATGAAATAGAGGTAGCCTTACTAGTACAGCACAAAGATATAGGCAAATCAATGGTTTTATTTCTGTTTTAGACTACTTAGGATCTAATATTCATAAGTACTTTTTATTTGGTAAATCATTGTATGGCAATATTAACATTTACACTATTCTGTGGAAGAGAAACACAGACCAGCCAACCCCCTAAACCCCACATCTTTGTGGCCAGACACTATTGAGAATGGGTACACAGACCAGCCAACCCCCTAAACCCCATATCTTTGTGGCCAGACACTATTGAGAAGTGGGTACACAGACCAGCCAACCCCCTAAACCCCACATCTTTGTGGCCAGACAGTAGTGAGAAGTGGGTACACAGACCAGCCAACCCCCTAAACCCCATATCTTTGTGGCCAAACACTATTGAGAAGTGGGTTCTTTTGGCACTAGTTTTTTGTTGTTGTTTATTTTTCAGATTAACAAATCAATCCCTATATCAGAGTAAATTTTTTTTTTTCAAACTTGAATAATGGAAACTATGACACCTCTCTGTATCCCACCCAAATTCTGTCTTGACTGACAGACAGGGTGTTAAGAAGATAAATCAGTTTAACATTGGTGGTATCATTCTGAATGAATAACTTGTGCTATGTTTTTTTTATTAGTAACTTTACATTTTAAGTCTGTAAAAGTTAATTTTTAATATAAAACGTTTTACCATAGAGATGAACATTTTTGTAAATCCAACATAAGATAAACTTTCTTTGGTTATTTGCCAAAGATACAAAATGACTACCCATACTAGTCATGCCTAATTTTTAGCTAATACACTAGAGAGAAGGCAGGTATTCACAGCAACCACCACAAATTATTAGGCTACTCTGATCAAATAGTAGGATTAAATGGTTAGTCTTATCATGCACCCCAACTGCAAAGGGTGTAGTATGACGTAGCAGTAACAGACACGAACCAGCCAGTGTGGTTTAATGCAACCAGTCAAATCTATAAACAAGATTTCCTTGCTCAGACACCTGACACACAATTCAAAGCCTGAGATGACTACATGCCAATCATTACCTGGTGAGGGCTTTTGTATTACCAGACTTGTCATATTATCCACTAGGCCACATCTGGCCTCAAAGTGTATATTAAGCAATCAAAAAGTAAAGCAGTTTCATACTACATTTCAAGAAATATATTAATCTTGTTTAGTTTAGTTGTGATCCCACAGTTTTGAACCACTTGAAAAGATTTTAAGAAAAAAATCCACCTTTATACAAAACAACCAAATGTATACTCACAGTTAATTATGGTGACTGGAAAAAAAAAAGGTTAAAGGTTATCAACACCTAAAAGAAGTACAAGTAAAACTAACTGTACTTTTTTTTTTTAAACACAAGCCTGATGTGAGCCAGGAAGGATATCATTGGGCAGAACAAGGTGTTTGAATTTCTTGTTTACAATGCACAAATAATTTAAATCGCCAAAAAACATACATACACACGTGTAAAACAAATTTGTTTATAAGTAAATATAACATCTACAACTTGTACTGCTAAAAAAAACTTAAACCTCCTAAAACAGTTTTTTCTAAAAGTATTTTGTGGTTTAATTGTTAACTTGAAACTGAGAAAGTTACACAGATAACAACTCAAAAAATGGGCACTTTCTTTCTGATCTACTTTGTCTACTTTAATATTTAACTGATTATAATTGCACAAAAGTGAGGAAAAGTTCATTTTATATGTTCAACAAAAGCACTTTAAAAACCATCCTTTCTTTGAAATACATGAAATAAACTTTCTGAAACATTTTAAACCATGAAAGAAAGTTTGAATATGTATTTAATACTTGTGATTACACAGTAACAGATGAGCACTTTGAGTGTTTTTTTATTATGGCAGGTGCAACCTCTATAGACTTATATTTCAAAAATTATTTAACACTTTCTATGTAGTAGTTTAGTAAGAATACAGTTAGGCCTACTGGATTAAGAAGAATCGAAAAATTGTCCTGCAAATTTGTTATTGGCTATATTATTATTTGGGATGCTGTATAGGGTCACGTAAATTTGTGCCTTGTATAGAAAAAAGCCTGGGAAGTACTACATGAAAATTACCCTTTCTTGTTACGTTTTATTTGGATAATTATCATACCATAAAAATAAAATATTTCATTACTCATTATTTAACGAGTTTGAACTCTTTAATATAATTCATTGAGAAATTGGTCCCTGAAACTTTGCTTAAAAATATAAAATATAAATATAACTGTCATCTGACAATAACATTGTTTTCATAGAATGAAGTGTTTAATTAACCTTGAACATTCCACATCACTAGAACTTGTAATAGCACACTCAAGCTTTAAAATTACTTCAATAATTTAATTCAGAAACACTGATGCAAAAAGAATGTTCCAAATTCTTGTATCAAGTATATAGTACATATACAATGGCTATTAATCCATGTACACTATAAGAAAAAAGTAGAGCCAAGCAAGTTATTGTGTGTGTACAAAAACCAAGATTCTCAGTTTAAAATTTTATTCTAACCTTTAAATCATCTTTTGAAAGATGAAAATTAACAGAATTTATTCAAATCTCACTAGTGTGTGTGTGTGTGTGATATAGAAAAATAGAGTAAGTTTAAAATTAACATTAATTTGTTATGTACACATAAAAACAACTAAATCAATGTGGTAACAATTGGCTCCACTAAATCCATTAATTGTGGTTATGATGATCTTGAGCTTCTTCGAAATTAGATAAATCAACAGCGACTATAAAATCCAATTAATTTTTTTATCTTTATTTATTTATTTTTTACAAATCTTTTGTTAGATTAAATATACTTCCTGCCAATAAAACATGAAACTTATTAAAGTATAATAATAAATAAGATATCCTAACAGGATGTAAGTCTTACCTATATATATATATATATATATATATATATATATTATATTATGCAATTGAAACCTTAAAATTTCAGCTTAGATCTTGTGACTAATGATTTAAAAATGAGATTTGTAAATATGTTTGTAGTAACTAATAATTGAAAAACATGCCTAGTACATGAAATATTAAAATTCTTAGCACAAGTAGATAAAAACAAATCATTAATCTATGTATGGTAAGACGTATTACAAATTTAACAATGAGTAACACTGACCCAGAGAGTTTAAGGCACACAAGTATTAATTACAAACATATAATAAAATTTGCTTTTCATGATTTATTTATATAAAGATGAGAGATAACTTACAATTAATTACATTTAAGCACAATTGGATTTTTAAATTAAACATTATGCAGAATTTAAACCCCAGTTGTACTGAATATAACTAACTTTTCGTTTTGGATTTTGTATTACTCCTCCTAAAAGCTTCTTTTTCTCTCCATCATTCATTTGTTGATACAACCATCGAAGCAACTACCCCAGAAATGAAAGATGTATGTATATTAATGTATTGGCAGCAACAAGTCTTACATAAATCACATATCACATAAATCTTGGTATAATATATTTGAATGTACTAATAAAAAATTTTAATTCTGTTAAGTTTGAACTTATATAAAGTTTAAAAACAGCTATTTGTTGGATAATACTAACGGATTATTTCAGTAAAACGTTTTGTATCTAATAGTGAGACATGATCACGTGCAACATTCGAATTACAGATACATCCAATCAAATAGCTGTTTATGATGATGATAGCTCTGATTGGTTCTTAATACAAATAAAATGATATTCTTAATGTTTTATTTATATTAGGTTTTAATTTTTTATATTTTTAGTGCTTCCAATTTTTTTTAATTTTCTTTGTTGTTTTTTTCTATATTATGTTTTAATATTTTTAAAATTTATTTTCTGTTGTTCTTTAATTGTATGTTAATTTATGTCTGACTGTTTTGTTATTCTTGTTCGTTGCATCTGGTTGTTATTTTCCCACCTATTTCTCCTACACAAAACTTTTTACAATGTAAACATTCTATTTTATACTCTGTGTCATTGTCATATTATTCATTATTATATTAATTTGGTAGAAAACTTGTTTAACTTTTGTTACTGGTTTAGTTATGATTTTTAGTACTATCCCAAAAATATCTGTTTCAAAACTTAAAAATTTTTGATAATTAATTGGGTAACTCTCAAGAAAGTTAGTCGTCAAATAAAACTCAGAAAATGAATTTTGCTAAAATGGAAAATGGACTTTTGTAGCTAAAATATAAATACAAAACAAACACACTCAGAGTTAATCACACTACGAGACAAAAATGTTAGTCCTGTGCTGCCCTTTGAACAAGTACAGTATGATGGCCATGATTCAATACTGTTGCCCTACACTGCAATTTTCATGTAACAAACTGCTGTAAAGAACAGTAAGGTCAATCTTAAATCATACCCTTTGATCCCTTGAACCCCCACTGCATATAAACATCAACTTAAAATATCATGTTTAAACAACTCAAAGGCAAAATATCCACTGCAACTGCACAGGGAAATTAATAACATTGTTGTGATTCGAGTTTCTTTAGCCACCTGTCTTAGGAAAACAACCATTACTTTCAAGGTAAAGCTAGTAAAATTTTGACTTGTGAGCTTTAATTATTGTAGAATCCTTGTTTATTATCTTATTAATGATTCCAAGAAACATGCCCAACTTCATCACAATTGTAGGGCATTAAAAGACTCTTTCATAACCATAACGTTCACTTTGTATGTGACAGCACTGCTCCAGAATGGTATGCTATAAAGTAGTTTCATTATCTACTGCTGACCTAAAGGCTCTGAATGTTTTACTGCTTCTACACAGAACATTAAAGACCCCATATTTTCAAAATGCTGTGCTCTTTGGGTCTTCATCACTCAATAATTCTGCTTTACAAATGTACTTCTTCAAAAAGTGTTGTGAACAAAAACCTCCAGCCATAAGTTTACCCACGATAGCATTGCACCATCAAATTTCTACTCTTATAGTGTGATTAACTTTCTGTATATGTAGGGCCAACACAAATGTTATTCAGTTCCATCTAAAACAAATATGGCATAAATATGAAAATTTGGCTTTTTTTTTAGATAAATATTTAAGTTAATATGCACTTATACCTTTAATATGTGTATTTTCAAAATGTCTAATACTGCTTATAATTTTCAATAATTCTTGATTGTTAACATAAAAATATAAATATGCATCCAACTACTACTCATGCAAATATATACAAACATTTTAGTAATGACTGTTTACATTTATTTAATTCATTAATTATAAGAGAACAAAACTAATTTCTTTGAGAACATATAACCAAGTTTCTAATAAAATAGCAAATTTGCATTTATTACAACAAATTATAGTATCCTACAAGTTTCTGATCTGTGTAATATTTATATAGTACTACATTTATTTTATTTTGTATTATTCTACTAAGATATCACATTTCATGTATACCATTAATTAATTTGATTTGCCTAGTCTTTATTATAAAATAAACACCAACATTATTTTGCACAACTCTGCTAAATATTTTGAAATAAATATTGATAGCATCAACCAACATTATTTTTTTCAAAAATAACCAGCTCTCAACTTACTTCCTCTTCGCTACTTCCAAAGTCACACTTGTACCACTTGAATATGCTGGACAACAGGACCTGAGATTGATCGTCAATGACTTTCACACCATCTTCACTTTCTAGAAAAGCCTCTGTAGCCAGCTGTAGTTCTTTATTTATATTCTGTTTATTTTAAAATAATAGAAACAGCACTGATCAACTGTTTATACAATCATAGATAAGGATAAGAAGCATTATACTGTTATTGTGGTTGAGAAATATTTATATTCTGCTTACATCATAGTGACAGTTAAACTGGTGATATTTATTGTATCATAACCATATCTAAACACGGGTTTTATCAATTTATTTAACTACATTTACTCAAATCATAGGCTCAACTTCAATTCACATCAACTCTTCTTCACTAAACTTGGAGGAGGGATGTTTGACCAATACATGTTCAGATATAAAGCTGATGCAAATACTTGATAACCTTTGTTTGTTCTTAGAGTTTCTGTACAAACGTAATAAAAATAATTTCATAAACAATGTACAGTTTGATGTGTAAAAGATAAGCCAACATTGAATCATTGTACATCAACAATCCATTGGGAGGAACTATAGATGTATGTTGTAATAATTTATTCAGAAGAGAACACTATAAATGGAGCACCTATATGAGAAATGTATATTCAAAACTAATGTAAGTTCTGTAAAAGAATATAAACATTTAATGGATCTATATATATATATGATTAAATAAATGAGGTTACTATAAGTTATAGACTAGCCTCAGTGCTGGCTAACCTTTTCTTACGTCATCAGGAAAAGCAATTTCCAAGTCAAACCACTTTTCTACGGACATTATATGAATGGCACTTTTACCACATTTAAAACTACAGAACAAGAAATATCTTTTTTATTTTCAGTATTTAAACTCTCAACATCAAAATATAAAGTTTACTGTTGAGTATGAAAGTGACTGTAAGTTGGCTTTTTTTTGGAAATTCTGGTTCACCAAATTCAGACTACGTTGGTGTGAATTTGTATTCAAAATCCAACATTATCATAGAACAATGCTACTAAGATTACCTGCCCCAGCCTCTAATTTTGAACTACTGATCAGAGGAAAAGCAGCAGTCAGAAGCACCTTACCATCTATGTTAAGTGACTGAATGTAACTCTTTTAATGCATCCACAGCTTAAAGTGCAAGAAATATATATATCATGGTATCACACTGATTCAAACCTAGCTCTCAAGACCTGCAATTCAGAACTCTACCATAAGGCTAACCTTCCACACGCAGATTCTCAGACTTGTATGCACACTTGATAGCTTTTTTCCTATCATGTTTAAAGAAAATCTTGGGCAAATTCTTACCTACTGAGTTTATTAGATTGTAAGTAACAACTACTTCTTATATAATGAACTAATAAGATAAAATATTAAGTTAAATTAATACAAAACAAATGGTATAGTTGATAAAAACAATTAAATTATACTCAGAAAATTACCACCCATACTATACCAAGTTATTATGTCTCAAAAAGATCTTTTATTTTAGTATTGCCATATGTGGGTCAATACTTCAAATATGTAAAGAAAACATTATAGAAAATTTAGTACGAAATATTTTAAAACAGAATTAACATGTACTTTAAATAAAAGTCCAGCGATACAGCTTTTGATGTGGACTGTTGATTTCTATTTAACTTTATCACAACATTTCAACCACTTGTGTGGCCATCATCAGGTAACTGTCCTCTATTGTGAAATACTACGCAAGCATCTTGTTCAAATTTAGAAAACATATAGGGTGACACCTGTGTTTTGATTTAAATTAGGTTTTAGTTCATGAATAATTAATACTTCTTTTATTTTTCTTTTATTATTGTTCGCATTGCATAATATTTTAAAGTCGTTAATGTTAAGTGGATGTGAATTCTTTGTGTTGTGTTCATAAATGTGTGATGGGGGATTGTTATGTTCTTTGATCCTACTGTTTAAGTTGCATCCAGTTTTGCCTATGTAAGTGCTATCGCATTAATATTTGTAGATGCTTGTGTGGTTGAAGTTGTCAGCATAAACCTTCCTTAGATGACCTTTGATTTTAGTTACCCGAATGGCCACACAACTGGTTGAAATGTTGTAATAAAGTTAAACACAAAATATACAGTCCATTCAAAAGCAGTATCTCTGGGCTTTTATTTAAAGTGTATAGTGGATTTCCTCTCTTCACAATAAGAATTAACATGTGTTTTTAAATCAAACCCGAGAATTACTTTTAATTGTTTTAAGCACAGAATTCCAAAACTGAAAAGGTTGCTCATTGTGTATAAATTAAAATGCCTTGGCTACGTCAAAGAGTAGACAAGTTATACCACAAGGTGGTTAAACACTTGTATAAAAGAACATACACAAAATAGAATGGAGGTTTCTTCTAGTGTTAGAGCCTATGTTTTCTGTGTGTAATTGTGAAGTTTTTATAATGATGATTTTAGTTTATTTGTAGCATTACTGTAGCATAATACTGAAATAGAATTATCTACAAATTAATTCATGGGATTATCTATACTAAAAAAACAGCCTCTGTGTGTGTGTCAGTCAGTTAGCACCATAGCTCCAAGAGGAAAGAGACCTGAAACTTTACACACATACTAAGTGAATTCCGATGGCATGCACCTGGGTATTATTTTTTTCTAAACAACATTTTGCCTGTTGTTTTGCCTTTAAGCCATAAAAAGAGAGAAGTAAATGCTGCCATCTGTCGCTTGGTACAACAAATTGTTAGGAAATAAGTTTTAATAATAACAGTTTTGTAAAAACAGGTTAAAAAAAAATGTATAAAAGTGTTAGAATTCATGTTATTTGTAGAAATGATTATATTTAAATGTTTGTTCATTTGTATTTCTGATTTTCAAATTAATAAAAAAATATTGTAAATAAAAAGCCATTATTACCCGTGCAGCGAAAAACTAATTTCAAATAAGGTCAAATTTGTTTTTCACTGCACAGGTAATAACGACTTTTATTTAAAAAGATTTTTTAAAAAATTGAAAGAGATACGAGTGATGCAAAAATTTATTAAAACATTTCTGAATGAGCAGTGCAGCTGCGAGTTTCACCAGATAGTGAGAGGAGAGGGAAATGCCTATTAAAAAAACAGTATCACAAAAAGTAAGCGATATTTTCCATCATGCTTAACTAGCCTCTAACAAATGTTGTTTAATACTCATAACACACGTAAATTAATATGTAGAATTATAAATGGACTTTTATCTACATTAAAATACTTTTATTTGCGTGCTTTCGGCCCTTTTACTGAGGCCTTCATCAGGCAACAACGTACTGAGCGATAAAATTCGTTATCTGTGGAACTCCGTTTTAAAATATGTATCTAGGCAACAGACATAACAATAACTGACATCTGGTATTGAAGTTATTAAGTACATAGAATAAAAATCAATTGCTTTGATATAATAAACACAAGGAAAATAATACAATTATAGGTATTATGTACAGAAAAATTAAAGGAATTTTTCCTACTTCAAATAATACATTGTAAAATTAAAGGTTTAATTTTGCATCTAAACCACATAAATAGAGAACTTACACAAGTTTCTAAATACTGTCTTTGATTTTAAATTACCAAGTAAGTTAAGTAGTTTTGGCTAATGGAGAGAATGATTGATTATATCAATTAACTAGAGGACTAAACAAGAATTTAAGTTTTATTCTGTACAACATTTTTTAAAAACCTTTTGTTACAAAACTGTTATTGTTCTATATTTTTTAAAAGAAACCAGTCATAAATTTGTTTTCTTAAAAACATGTTATAAAACTGTTATTGTTCTACTTTTTTTTTACGAGAAACCACACATAAGTGTTAGAATTCATATTATCATTCCCGTCAATAATGGAAAACAATAACAGTTTTGTAACCACAGGTTTAAAAAAAAACATGCATAAAGATGTTAGAATTCATATTATTGATGGAAATTATTATATTTAAATGTTTGTTCGTATGAATTTCATATTCACAGAATGCTCGAAAACAGTACATCTATCTTTTCAGTATTAGTACGTTTGTGTATTTGATATGTAATTTTGATCCTTTGTTTAAAAATAGCTAAACATTGGCCCTCTTTTCAGGTAATACCTGAGTAACACCTGGTGTGGATGGCTAGTATAACAATTATAATTGCAGAAAATATGCACGTACATATGCAACTAATAAGAACATATATATATATATATTTCCATTACACACACTTCTGTTATATAGAATAGTAATGAAACAAAAGTGTAATGTTTTTTAATGAAAACTAAATAATCACAATGGTAAACACAAAGTAGTTTCAAAAATCATTAAACTATTGGTAAATGATTTTTCATTGCTGTAAATGATAGTTAATTTTATAAATAAAAACAAATAAATAAATATTGAAATTACTCTAGAATACTTTCTTCAAGGAGACAAAAGATTGATAACAAACAAAAACTTTAAAAAAACTTAATTTATTAGATTATTTTATCACTAAACATTATGTTCTGCATGTATATAATTAAAGCTGTAGTTATTCAAACTTTCAATCTAGTCACTGATGACAAAAAAAACCTCTCTCTCTCTTTTGTTTTTTTGCTGTGAAAAATATTCGTCACTGTCACTGTCTTGAAGGATATAGATACATATGTAAAAAGGTATACCACTGTTATTTAAACATAATTCCTAATTCTGGTGTCTCTTAGTCACTTTTATCTATCTAAAAATTATAACTGTAATAAAAAACAAATTTTAGATCTAACATATTCCCAAGTAATGTTACGAGGAAGCAGTCATGACATACACAGTTTCCATATGTTTGCCTATTCTGCCACTAACACTGGGTTCTGGTGGCTAGAACATGACTGAACTGTATTTTGAAACTTTTGGTAAGTTGACTTGATTTTTTTTTAAAGCAGGAACTCCATATCAAGAAATTTTAAAGTAAATTTATGTTGTTTAATATGTAAAAACATATTTCACTATCTTCAGATGGACTACACTTAGCTTTTATATCTTGACAGAAACAAAAATATAAAGGGTGGGCCAACCTGCATCTAGCACAAATTGTAAGAAGTACAATATGATGATTGATTCTAGGGTTATTCTGCAATAATTTTTCTTACATGATGTATCAAAAAACAACCCTCAGCTCAACAAAAATGAATCTCAAGTTTCTGTAATAGTTATCTGAATAAAAAAAATATTTCAACAGGTGGAAAGAAAGATATTTTTAATCTGTGGTAAATGGAAAACTATTAATTTGTATAAATATAACAAAAAATTACTGGAACATTTTTTTCAACAGCACTGATCTTAAAAAACAATTAGCAAGCTGTAAAGATAAATTTTACAAAATAAAAACCAGAAATGCCCTAAGGCAGCATTTCCCAAACTACGTTGCTCGGAACACTGGTGTTCCTTCCGAGATTGATTGGTGCTTCGTTGGCTTTTACATTTTTATGCTTATAATATATTTTAGGTACAAACCTCTCCACTAAGATATTATGTAGAATAGATATGACATCTTCTATAATTCTTCTTCAGTTCGAAATTGATATTATCTAATTCTAATATATTGGAAAATATTTCATAATAAATTATGATCGTACAAAAAATGTTAAATATTTTATTAAAGTTTAAAATCATTATTTTTTCATTAATATGTAATTTGATTAAATAAATAAATGAACAATATACAAATCTAGAAGGTGCTGCATGTGCAACATACCCTCCACACCAACATTTCACGTGTCTAGTGTTCTGTACGCTTTTTCTCAGCTGAAAAGTGTTCCATGGCCAAAAAAGTTTGGGAAACGCTGCTCTAAGGCATACTTGAACTAACCTGAGGAGAATAAGTTTTGATGGGGGGGCAGCTTTTTGCTCCACATACTAAGGCAAAGTGGATACGAGGGTCCACTTCCTTCATTATGAACTGAAGACGAGGATCTGCTTTACCAAATGGACAAAAAAACATACCAATCCCTCTTTTGTTTCCTCTCAATACTCCATTTTCTATATCTTGAAGAGAGTATGGATGACCTCCAATAATGTATGATACAGAGTTGAAGAACTAGAAGTTAAAGTAAATTTGATCATTATTGTCATTTAATATTGTAACATTTATAAGAGAAATGATAATAAGAACAATCATCCATCACTGTATTGCTTGTTAATAACTCAACCTAAGATATCATGTATGCTGCAACATTTTTTTTTTGTAGAAAATTTGCTATTTTTTATAGCATATACATATACAGAGAAAAAGTTACTATATGATCAATAGAGTTAGTAGTCCAGTGTTGCCTGGTCTGCAGATTTCTCACAGAACTGGGCTATTTCAAAAAGGCAGCTGTGGGAAACATTTAGAAGCTTCATATTGCTACTATATATCCTATAATACTAGATGGCATATAGCTTCCAGTTCCTATAGCCAGAGTCTGCTATAAAAGAAAAATCATCAAGACTTGTACATATTGACTTAATGTACACAGAAATTAACAGAATGGTCTGACATGGAACATCACATTTAAGGTTCCAAAAGACATCTATTGCTATTATGTGAAATTAGGGGTAGAAAAAAGCAGAGGAAGCAATAGTTAAAAAAAATTAAAAAGAAGGTCCAGTTAAATCACAACTGTACTAATGTTTTAGTGATTTTGGGGTCTGTAAACATAGAAGAACATTGGTTTGTACTAGAGAAATTATTACAAAGACCATTGAAACCAATTTAATTATTATTGTCTCAGAGTAACAGAAATTAAACTATGTTCTAAATGAAACAACTGATTAGTCAACTGTTGTCTCGCTATGGTTCATTGTATCACAAATTGTACTACAATAGTTTGATACTCTAGTCTACTGACTTTATAAAACCTGTCAGTTCATTCTTCCTTTTTGAATAATTACAGTAATATTATCTACCAGATAAAGTAACGAGTGAACTAATATTCAACATCACACTGTGTTCCTAGGTACACAAAGATAAGTCAGAGTTTTGTGATTGGTGTACTAAAAATGTTTCAATAACTTTTACAGTATAGACTTGTCAATACATTCATGATATACCAACAATTTTAACAGAAAACAATGACTTTAAACTATTCCAGTGAAACATAATATTAAGTTATGTGAATTACATAAAATATTATGTAAGCCAATAAAGCATTCAACAGCTGAAAATGTTGTCAAAGCAAAGGTACCAAACTGACAAAACAATACATTCTAATCATTATAAGTAATAGTGTTTAAACATTATATTTAATTAGCTATGCTAATCAATAAGTATATATATCTTTAGTTCTGATCTGTATAGGTAGCTTGCTTTTGATCAGAAGTTAAGATTAATTTAGGCAAAGTTTTCTTTAATCCCAAAATCTGCATCCTTCATGAAGTTTTCTTATTATAATCATTGTCAAATTTTTTGTGTGTAATGTCTTCTTCTCCAACTCAAATCAGTTGCATGTTTAAGGTTTTTAAAATGAGACACTTAATTATAGATTGTTTTTCAAACCTTCCATCTTTGCCACAGATTAGTAGGAGGTCCACGACTCACAGTTGCATGCACTACAAGGGCATTATATATGTTGATAAAGAAAGCAAGGGTCTCTTCTCGGCTTAGGCCTTTCAGGTTAACTCGTTGAAGCTCTGTAGACAATTTTTTATATTCCTTGAAACTTTCACTAGCACCCAATCCTCTATAATCAACTTTCTGAAAAAAAAAAGAGAAAAATTTCAAACTTATTTGAAATAACGATACATGTATCAGATCAAAAATTAACCTTTATATTACAAAACAAAAACTTGGAACAAAAACATTTACAATACAAACTGTTTGTGACTTGAAATTCTATACAGATTTTCCTTATCTATTTTAACCAATAATTTTAATGTTATCAGTTCACATGACAGAGAATCTTCCTTTGAATACACATTTACACACCCACTTTAGCTTGGGGCATAATTAGTAATTCAACAGTAAGTCCAATACTTCCAAATACTTCTTGAGGCATGTAATGTCACACAGGAACTACTGTAGAACTGACCTACAATAAAACAATGACAGCAAGATGTTTTTTGCATTCTATCCAGAAGAACTACAACTCAATGTCATCTTTTTGAAAGACATTTGATGATTTCTTCATCTGGTTTTCAAATAATTTTTAGTCTTTACATTCAGTCCTTTTTTATTTGTCAAAGTATTGCTTTAAAGCATCTTAATACATTCAAATGAAAAATTTACCTTTCCATCCGAAGACAGATACTCCGAATAAAGCTTCAAAATCAACTTTCTCATCTCTTCAGCAACTTCAAAAGCTGTTGAAAACATGTTATATTTAGGATAACTCAAAACTTTAAGTTTGATTATATCCAACTTAAATGTTATTTGGATTCAAGACTTCAAAACCTGAAATTAATAAATACAATAACAATAATTTTTCTTTACTGATTTTAAAATTAGAAAATTGTCTATATCTAACTTACCTACTTAAAATGATTTGCAATTTCAAAAGACTAAAGTATAATAATTTTTTGGCCAGTTAATCAAATTACAAACACAATGAGTTGTATAGTTACAATAAAATTACACACCAACAGATGTAATAGCCACAATTAAATTACATATCAACAAATGAATAATTATGATTAAATTACAGATGTATAATTACAATTCCACCTAAACAGGCATGTAAATTTTTGGTGATCATAACCTTTTTTTTACAATTCTACATAGTTTCAGTGATGGTTACTGTTATCAATAACAGTTAAGAAAA